AAAATAGACCAAAATTACACGTACATATACCTAACTACATAAAACATAATACAACACACCAGAAAAAAACAAGTTTCCTTATATTGCCCTTTAGTTCTTTGTTTTGGTATGAACCGATTGCGCATTTGGGGACCAGATCGCTTCAATCGGGATGGAAGATAATGTGGTATACGGTTTTTTTAATATTGCAGATTTAAATCCCACACTTTGCTATTGCTGTATTTTTGTTTAGCTGCAATTGGAGCTTGCGAAGAAACTAAATGTCCACCCTAAGATAAGGATAACTAGAAAACTTTTGCCTTTCAATTTAAATCATGTCTTCGAAAGGATACATACAGATGTCTCTCTAGCCATTATAATATGACAAATGTTAAATAACTGCTATCGATTAATAAATAATTTATATATGTTTTAGCCAGTTCAATGCAACTTTTGATGAAACTTTAGATAAATCACTGAATAAAGTTTCCAACCGAAATTTTCATACCCGGAGGGAAAATCCAAACCGTGTCTACTTTTGTAAATTAATTTGATATGCAAATTTATAATATAAGTTATACTCAAATATTTTGATTTGAACTTACTCAATAAATTAATCTCTTACACGATGCGACGGTGTCAGGAAATCGATAATCTATATTAAATTCCGAACATTCCACGTCTAATCAAGTTATATCAAAATGCAGGATAATTGTATTAATATTATAATGACATTAGATACAGGTATTCAAAGGGGTAGATCGAGGATATTGCCTCTGAGTGTGTTGCCATTAGATTGTGTTATATAGCCTGTCATCGATATTATATTAACGGTATTAAGCCACGTAAATGCGGAACTTCTTTCCGCTGTGAAGGGAATAAGGGGATTTTAAATACATTCCTCGTTCAGGTGACTGTTATAGACTAATACAACATGGTTTTGTGGTCGTATTTTTTACGAAATAATTTTGATAGACTTTCTGCCTTGGAAGCTTTTCTTGAATACAATTTAGTATATACTACAGTAATAAAATTACCGTCCGCTATAAATATATTGGTGTATATAATAAAAAGTGACCTATAAAAACCGGAGAATGAATTGACAACAGGAAAGCACAACATACTTGCATTCGCAGAGAGCTGACTGAGTATATATCTAGTTACGGAATGTGTTTATACTTCATTCCAGATTTTTTATGTTAAAAATGTATTAATAAACTCAAAATTATTATTTATAAAGTTTAAATTTAAAATGAGACAAGGCGAAATAATTAAATATAAAAACATTTTTTGCACTGTTATATCGAGCTCATGAATGAATCGATGAAATGTGAAAGCAATTTTTGCACTCGTAAAGTAAAACTTCTTGCCGGGTAAGTAGTGTGAAAAGTATCAACTTTTTACACGATCTTAGAAAATATTTATCAGCAATCAGCTCTAGTTTTATTAAAAATACAGTATTCAGGGAAGATCGCAGCTTTTTTAATTTTTAGTAATCGAGTGAAGAAGAAAAGCTAGGTTATATTTCTTGATTGTTACTTCTGAAATCAACAACAGTTAGGAATTACACATATTCCCGTTATGCTGAAATTCAACGAAAGTCAAAGTGAAAGTGTGAATTCAAATCCTAAAACGTTTATTAGTATTTCTTTAACTTTCTGCCTAGATATATATTTACTAATTTCTTGTTAAGTCGTATTAAACTGGAGCTCGATTTTTTCCAAAAGTTCCTGGTTCTTTGGTCTTATTCCTTCTTCTAAAAGAATCGGAGATGTCAGAGAACAAGAGATTAATGGATTGAAACAAGGTTCAAACTCATCAACATCCTAACACTTCAAACACTTCTAACATCCCAAACAAGCTTTAAAGTAATGTGAAAACAAACCTTAAATATTAATTTAATCAATAAAAAACAATACATAAATAGAACTCGTATTCTCATGTCACAATTTCTTAAAAAACTGCCCCTTCAATATCAATTCAATTGCTAATTGATTAGTATGGACCGAAGCCGAAGTTTCCTAGTTGCCAGTTTTTAATTCTTAGTTGACAATTTTTTGTATAAACTCACCATAAGCGGTTGATTGATCATTTCAAATATAATTAACCTTAAAATATTGTACTATGATTATCACAGGACTGTTCCATTCGAAGACATTAATAGTATAAAGGACAATACAACTTAAAACATCATATGCATAAAATCGGTGCTCAAAAGTAGCTCTAGCTTGAGATTTGAACTTGATGGGAGAAGTATAAAATTGTAAGCCTGCCGAAATAGATCGATTGGTCGCTCCGAATAAAAAACCACATAAAATAATCTGAAACCTAACTTGCAAGTAAGTTGATTGATTAATGAACTTATCTAGTAATTACGCACCTTTAACTGAAATTGATACTTCGTTAAAATTGACGAACCGAATCAGATTCCTCGTCGCGCAGTTTTATCTATCAAATTGCAATTTGACCAAAGGAATGGTTTAAAACCCCAAGGAATGTTATAATCCCGAAGGTTTTGTTGCCAAGTCCTAATTGAAATGCAAAAAGGTTTCGCCAAGCCTAAAAGAACGAAAAGTCACGCGGCAGTAGTAAGCTTTATTGTTGTTTCCTTATTCCGGGAACGAAACAAAAGTGAATTCCCCGCGTGCCCTTTTTTTGGTTACTCATCAGGGAACTTTAGATCTCGTGATAGGAAACGGGATTCTAACGTTTTTAATTTCTGCCTAGTTGATGAATGTAGACGGGCTACAATGGCCGCCAAATTAGTTTTTTTCTTCCATTGAAAATGCTTCGTTATATCATGGTCGCAACGTTCCTAAATTTACTTTTCCACAAAAATCGTTTTAACTTTATTTTAGAAAAAGGCCCATTTCATGGAGAATTTCCTTTATTATGGATGACTATGGCTATGATGGCGATACATAAGTTTAGAAAAACAGGTTGTGAAGTACTTTCCAACTTAGAAATAATATTGCAAAAGCACTTAATGCAAAAAAGAAGGCAATGAATCCTAAACCTAATCCTAATCTTAGTCCTGAATACTTAGACGATATTCACCCCCATAAACTATGCAAGTACCATTATTTTCCTCATAATTTTTTTGTCTTCTTCATTTGGAGAACTATTTTGTTCTTTATCCATTCGAGCTAAATATTCATCAAAATGTCGTGGAGGTGATATGAGTATCGGTATCTCAGTCACTAGGATATTGTTGTTGTTCAGCTTTTCTAACTTTTGCCCTTGATACCCTTCCTCTTCCTTTTATTTCTTTCTTCTTCCGCTTTTGTTCTTCTGTTTTACTGTACTTTAGGCAACACTCATGAAAATAACAGCCTCAAACAAAGATGGAAATTGAAATACCCTTTGTAGCTGATATAAATATGGGCGAGGTAGCGGGCGATGCATTATGAAAAACAAAGTGTATTCAAAAGGGGCAGAGTATAATTTTTATGTATACAGAATGATGCGAAATTTTTATAGATTTTTCAAATCAGCATTTAAGGGGCCCATAAGAAAAAATAAATTTTTCTTTGCTACTATACATTTGGGTGAATCGGACACGTTGGTGGAGTTAATGATTCTTACATATTGTTGTATCAATAATTTTTATAACTATCGTCATTAGAAACGGTATTATTCACTTCGCAAATTCATATAAATATTTTCTTTACCGGAAACAACTTCTTTAATTTGCGGCTTATAGTCATGAAGCAACCTTATGATTATAATTTTGTTCACAAAATGTCGTTAGATGCTGCAAACATGGGATTTCTATCACTGTCGAGTATAAAATGAATCTTAAACGTCCCGTTCATAGACTGACCAATTGAATGGAACTCTGTCCTACCCAGATTTTAGAGTATCAAATTTAATATGGTGGTAGTTTTTACTGGTTGAAATTAACTTTTGAAATGGTCGCGCAGGTGCATTTTGAGTATTTTTAATGCTGACATATCGAAAAACTGGTTTGCACAAATAGTTTACTTCTAGGGAAATATTAAGATAAATTTTCCTTACTAGACTTTTACCATTGTGCATAATATCCGGGGATAATTCTTCCAGTTCTTGTACTAAACTTCCCGGGCTTTATTAAATGAATTATTTAAATTTCCAGTAACATCTAGGTAACTTGCGAAGGGCAGTCACTGTTTATAATGTTTGCTCTGTATCTATAACGGCCGTATGATGTGGAAACTGCATGGGTAATCACTTCTCCGGAATCAGTAAAAATAATGACTACCCTATCTTGATCAGTATAATCAAATACCCGTCAAATAATGGAATTTATCATATTTTGCTGCTACAGCAATGCGAATATTAATTGTATAAAAATTGTTTCTAGGATAAAAGGTATCTTATAGCACCTAACTTCCTTATTTTTAAGGAAACACCCGCTCCATTATTAAATTTTTGGATTTCTGAAAAAATGTCATCATAGGTTTCATAGATTTAACATCATTTTGACCAATGCACGTGTGCACAATAAACTCCTGTATGATACACGAATACAAAAGAACCGTCATTTCGCAACTGATATTGACAATTAATTTTCACGTACAGGGGGTATCCAAAATTTACCATTCATTTTCAAAGGTGCAAAACTTCGTGTTTTCAAATACGGCGACACCTTGTACATTATTACAAATCGTGATAAAATATTTAGTTCTACATCTACTGGCTCTACCTCTCCCTATTTCCAACGGTTATCTTGTTATTTCAAATTTTCTACCAAAAATCAAGACATAGGATGTTAGCATTTATTTTGACAAAGTTTGACATGTTTTTGGTTTCATTTACTCTCAAAGAATGAGGAGATTCTAGAAACGACCGCTTAATTCGAACACCGTGTCCTTTTACCATTTTTAACTTTTTATATTAAGAAATAAAATGAACATGAAAAATCAAAAAATCAAATAAAAACAGGAAAATTGAATTGAAAACTTTCATAATCAATGAAAGACGTGAAAAAAACCCGTTCTTTCAAAAAACCGTGGAATAAATTAACGTTATCTTGTTTACAGAAGGGAAATCGATGGCCACAGCGTATGACTGCAAATATATAGAGACATCTGTCGGCATCAACCACAACGTCGATGAGCTTCTTGTTGGCATTCTGACGCAGATCCGGCTAAAACTCGAGAATCCCGAGAGATCGCGCGACCTGTTTCGCAAACGGAGCACGTCGAAGAAAAATCTCAACCGGAACAAATCGCCCGCGTCCGGAACCGGAACTCCCACGGCGGGAAGCGCACAGAATTCTCCCAAGAAGTATCGCGGCAGCAGAACGTCCGCCAGTTTAAAAGTCCGGAGTTTGCTAGGCAAAGTTTGGGCGAGAGATAGCAAATCAAAATCGTGTGAGAACCTCCACGTGTTGTAAAACTTTTTTGTTTCGTTTTTAAAATATCGTTGTATAGAAGATTTTAACTGTTAGAGTAATTTGCTGTTACCGATTAACGCGCTATAGATTTTTGTTTCTCCTTAGGCGATATCTAGAGTTTTTATTTAGGTATTGTCAGTTGTGTGTCGCGTTTACCAAAAGCTCCAGCTTGAAACGTATTTCGAATTTAAAATCCATGACGTGAGCTCTAAAATAATTATCAATCCGCGCAGCTTTAATGAAAACTCAAAACATTGAAAAATTTTACAGATTGAATAAAATTACATTAAACGTAAATATGACATTGCTCCCGATTCTAATATATTGTAGAACTCTGGTGACCTAGCTTTATATTGACAAAATGTACAGCTAATTTAATACTATGCGTTGAACTAAGGTGGCTTTTACTTGATGAGAATCTATTGGAAATGAATTCTTAATTATTGTTATTGTGGGGTTTCTAAATTGAAATATAGCAACGGGGATGTATTCAAACCCGATTGGTCACTAGGTAATTAATTCGATTATCTCTTTGTTAATCTTCATAGCTTTCAATGATTTTAGTTTATGGCTTTTTGATGCACTGTGTAAAATATGAAAACTATTATCAAACTTGTGCATCTATGAATTTAAATAAATGAATGGCATAATTTGAATCCGAACTTCTACTATTATATGCTCTGCTTATGTTCGTTAATGCGTTTGTTGAATGTTCTTCCTCTTTGTCCAGTGTAAATATTTAGACATGATCCACATTTTAAATACAGGGTAAATATAGTTTCAAATAAGTATGAACTCTATTTACCCTACTTAAATATCTCTCTAAATTCGATCTCAAGATTGCTTTTAAAACTGAAAACAGTATAGCAAATTATTTAACTAACAATAAAACTAAGTCGCAAAAAACTGAAAAATCCGGAGTTTACAGGTTTAAATGGGCCATTCATTTAAATTCAGAAATGTACAATTTTGATATTTTACATAGTTCATCAAAATGTCATAAATAAACTTATTGGGAGCAATGGAGATTAACGAAGTTGGATGTTCATATTTATTACTTAATAACCAATTGAATTTGAATAGATCTCCCTAGCTAAATTTAAATTTAGAGACCCTATCATAACTGTAATTCAGATTTCATTACGACCCCCTGAAGACTTATGCTATTTATCAGTTGTTCCCTTCAAAAAAAATATTGTGTTTGTTTTCCTCCAATTCTTTTACTTTCAAATTGTGATACATTTTCTATGGGTCACCACATTCGAGATGTTTCAAAATTCAATGCAAAGATTTTGAAAACATATTTAACAGTCAAAAATAAGTCTATTTTTATTTATTATTTATTATAATTAACACTAAATAAAATGTTGAAAATCACCGTCGTCATTCATTGCAGGCGTAGCTTACGACGTAAGGTTTGCGTACAAGCGTTTTTTTTTTAATATCGAATACCAAAATAAATTAAAAAATCTGTGTTTTTATTAATAACTCAAAAATCTGGAATTCATAATTTCATTTTAATTACAATCACTAAACAACAATAAGTAAAATCCCGTATGAGTAATTAATAAGCAATGGAGTACTTGGGAAAGTCCAATAACAAGTCCAAGTATTTTGATACACTAGGAACTTGATACAAAAAACGAAAGCACAATTTTTTGTTTATTTTTGATTGCTTCATTCAAAAAAAAAAAATTATTTTCTCAAAAAATCAGCGTACCATGATTTTACCTATAAATATCTGGGACGCCACTGGAATAGAAAATTCCATTTTCATTAACACAATAGAAAAACCCGTACCCCTAACATTTTGCCAAAATCGTCTAAATGGTTTTTGAGTACCTAATAAAAGACCTTTTTGTTTAACTTTGTTATCCTGACTAATAAATATGCCCTTAAAATCTTTGTACTTAATTTTACTTAATAAGTTAGTAACAAATATTCCGTCGCATATTACCTATTTTGTGCATTCAATGTTGCAAGAATTGCTCTTGCGAAGCATCAATTCAAATTGTGTTTGATTAATTCATTTTTCGTAAGCTGTATTGTGTACATTGAGTTTACAATATGAGCAACAAAAATTGACTCTCCTTGGGTCGACTCTTAACCTTGCGTCAGGGATTTTAAATTTTCGTTAATTTTCGTCACCACTGCGACGTGTTGCGTCCCTGTCAAAATAATTAAAATGAAAGGAATGTTTTATGGTCCGATATATCAGAAATGAGTACAGTGACGTCATCACCTCCCGCTTTTGTTTGTCTCAAACTTCAGGCTATTGAATTTTTACGATTTATAAGGAATGTAAAACAAAGTTTATGTGAGTGAAAGCAGAAGTCCAAGGGAGGTATTTTTGCTAAATTCGGACTCTAAATACATTATAATTATAGAATTCAGGTTTATGATTTGACAATTGTGTTTATTGATTCTTGGAAGCATTAAGAAATGGTTCGAAATTTTCGTTTAATGCCGTGAATCTATAGTTCAAAGGCAGAACTACTTTGGTTCACTGCGTTCCATATAAAACTACCATCTGGAAATCTAGTAAAGAAAAAAGTTTAACACAAAGATTTTATAGTTTGTTAAGATATTTTAAAATATAGTAATAGGGTAGGCTAGTAGTAGGGTGTCGCGAGTTTGGTGTGAGACATTAACTTTTGATTTTTAAGTGTTACAGCCAATATTGTGGCATATTTTTCCGTTATTCGTCAAAAATTAACTGAACTTACCCATTCAACCGATAGTCGAATCTTGAATACAATATTTTTCCACAAATCATTGTGACTTTCCATAAAACTACGATCTTCTTTAAAACTGCTGACTTTCGGTATAGTATCATATTTTTATTGCGTTCCACTTAAAATAATCACAGAGTGAGTACTTTATTTAAAAATTTTAACTTCTTGCAGCATAAATTGTCCTGTTTAATTTAAGTTTTTAGCAAATATTTAAATCTCGTTAAAAAAACGCCTTCATTTTTGAAAAACGACTCTTAACTATCACACAAAATACGACTACAGCTTCAATTGGTAAGATTTTGACAAAAATTGCAAAGCCAAAATATTTTATTTTTATTAAAATGTATTTGCTAATCTCACATTTTCTCTTTCTATTAGTTTATGCTTTAACATGTTTTCAAAATATAGTTTTTTAAATATTTAAAATATTTTTAAGTGTTAAGTGATTTATGTAAAATCTGGATTATCTGATATAATTAATAGTTTCTTACATTAAATTCCATTGCAAGTGAGGGAAAGTTTCGTTTAGAATTTTTGGCTTCACCAACCTGCTCTATAAATTAAATAAAAAATTAAAAGAGACAAAAGTAATTGCACTCTTGGTATATATTGAAAGTTATAGAGTGTTTCCACTTTTTTTGTCGTGATATCAGTCGGCAGTGCAGATAGCGCGGTACGATTTTAAATATTAAATATTATTCGAAAATGCAGTCCCTTTTTTGTCAAAATACTTGAATCCTTACATACCAGGTTTACAAATTATAAGCCATAAATTCTTGGCGTGGTTTTTTAATTCGTCGTAAGTAATCAAAGTAGGTGGTAGGGCCCACCAAAGAAGCCGTAAATCTCAGAAAAAAAAAATTTCAAGTCAACGCAGGTTGGTGTAGCCTCAAAACGGCGCGCGTACCTACATATGCCAAATGTGGGTCGCCGAACGGTTTTCCGCAAAAATGTCGTTAAACAGAATCGAAAAAGTTCAAAACATCAATCAACTGTTGGTTGTAAGTCACGCCCCACCATTTGCCTTTCACGAGGGTCTTATGAAAAAAACGTGATTATTAAATTTAATATTGGGTTCCAACTGGAATTCGAGACGATTATGTTGTCTTTGTTTAGACCACCAGAAACCCTGTGTTTAGTTTAGGATTAAAGTTTCAAAATGGGGGGTTTTTGGAGGTCCTCAAAAAGAAATAAGAGATTATCTTTAAAAATAAAGTTTTTGTAGTATGTTTCGTACACGAATAAAACTTGAAACTCTATGAAGGAAACAGAAAAAATATTTTTGTACTATGTAGAATGGAAATGTGAATTGATATATCGGGCGAGGCCTTCACCAGGTTGGATCCCTATTTACATATCGCCTTTGCCTTTGTGACATTACCGTTTTTATCATTAAATGTTAACAGGATACTGAAAACATTTTTAGTTAAATATGTGACCAATGGAATAAATCAAAACTGCAATGGGCACGGCTTGATAGAGAAACGAAGCAAATTTTAAAATAGAAAACGACAGCTATATGAAGGGGATTATTGTCTTACTCATTTATATGACTTTGAGATTTGTGGGGGGGGGGAATCTCGATATTTAATTGCCTTATTTAATTTTATAATTCTTACTGAAATATACTATTTGGTTTTAATGATTATAAAAAATACTATACGATCTGAGAGATGGTAAGGTATAAAAAAAACAAGTTTGATACTAAAGTGTCTAGACAGTTTTAGTTGTTCTAGCCAATTTTCTTATTTATATATTGATACACATTCCATGACTAGTTCAACAATACATATTTTTTGCATAAACGAAACCTGTCATAGTGAGAATATTTTTAATACTATTTAATTTTTATATATACCAAATTACGTGATACATGGTGAAAATAAAATTCTTACGTGAAGAATATGCTTCAATGTTGCCACGTTTTTCGTTTTCTAAATTTATTATGTTTTTTTCAATCATCATGTAATCATCGTCTAATTAAATTAAATATAATAGTGACATGTAATAGTGGGGATCTAAGTTAACGGATTCGGAATTATTGACTATCATCCTCATCAGGTTGTCCAAATTATTGTATTTATAAATTTAGGTTTATTTGACTGGATATGAGAAAAACAACAAAAAAAAGCAAATAATATTGGATTTCTTTTTTTGATTTTTGGGAATAAAATGAAATAAATTAATTATTCAACCAGATTCTTAATGGTTCCGAAATGGTTACTTTATACCTCTGTTATTATATGTCGTTGAAACTGTCTTTTAATAGCCGATGTAACTATTAAGTAATATGTATGGGGTTCCATTAAAAAAATAAGAAATCTACCAACAGTATAGCACGTTGCTCATTTAAAAATTTGATTAATTTAAAATAAGGAAGTTTATGCCTGGCCAGGAAAAATTAAACACCCGGCATACGTAGAAACAATATACTTAAGAAGTTTAAGTCAATTTAAGAGACTTCCGTGGCAAATTTTTTTTTGGAGATTTCAGATTAAATAATGTAATGGGAAATACTAAAATATCTGGGACGCCACTGGAATAGATAATTTCATTTTCATTAACACAATAGAAAAACCCGTACCCCTAACATTTTGCCAAAACCGTCTAAATGGTTTTTGAGTACCTAATAAAAGACCAATATGCAAACTTGAAATAGTCAAGCCACTTACTTCAAAGAAGGGTGAACGATTGAAATGATTTCCCAAATTACCCGTAAACAAATTGTTTCAATTAAAAAACCAGCAGGTCGATCATTTCATTACACAACAAAATTTGCATTTTGTTTCAATGAACAGAACGGAGAAACAGGCTAATTTAACCGTGCAACAAAACTTTCGAAGATTTTTTAACAAGTGCTTTCAAGAATTGAGTTATCGACTTTTTTAGAGGAAGATTGGACCATTAGTTGATAATATGGAGAAATAAAATTTGCGGTTGTAGATTTCTCCTCTCTTCATGTTATTTTCATGCTAAACATATTTAATAGGAATCGCGTTTTGAAATGTTCTTCATCCAAACGCCCTGATTTTTGATACCGGGTCCATAAAAAATGAACACCAAAATTATGGCCTTTTTAAGTAATAATTCACAGAAATTTTATAGAAGACAAATGATTTTTTTGTTTTTGTAACCGTAGCACTCCATCCCCTCCAGCGACCTAACATGTCCGATGTAACGGTTCATGGGGACTGGAACACTTTGAGGAATAAACATGTATAATCAATTTGGGTCCATATAAACATAGCAAGTAATATTAAATGTATTATAGCTGTAGAAAATTTTGACATTGTGTAAAATCTTTGAAAAAAGCGAGGTAAAGCTTTAAATACGAGAGTATTTTGAGTGTGTTTATTGTAAAAAGTTAGTTATGATTTCGACACTACTATGTTCTCTCTTAAACGGATAGAATTTTGACTCTAGGAATTCTGTGATTTCTGGTCATTAAAACCATCGAAAATTACGGTTTTTGGAGAAGCCTCGACGTGATTTAAGCACCTTCAATGCTGCCTGACTATCCATTACAATATTTATGTTTCTCTATGGGAGTTCTAGGAGCATTCTTGCACAGAGTTCGCGTGCACTCTTTTAACATACTGGGATACGTACCAGGGCCAATCTTCATTTCCGTTTTTTGGACGTTCCTCATAGATGTTGACCCCGACACATTTTCCTTGGAAGTGTATGTGAACCAACACTATCCCAGTCCGGTTCTGAACCAACTTTTCTCTACTTGGCCAGATTACTTTATAGAGCACGTTCGAGGTAGTTGCAATCTGACGATAGCTCTATAACATACCCGTGCGGACTATTGAGGACTGCCTGATATAGTCTATAGGTTTGCCCATATTGTCTCCTCATCCAGGTATATTTTAAACTAACTGTTATATATTTTTGAATAGTGAAACCATTAGGTTTCAAATTGAACTCTCGTTATTACGATCTAGCAACTTGTACGAAGTACTGGATGGTTAGTAATGAGATTAAATTCGATTAAAATGATTATATTTGGTTCTGAGAAATTGTGTTTTTTCCTTTTAAAGTTTTTGTTTATTTTAGTTATCGTTGTTTCCAAACCCCCGATTATTCAGATAAACCTGGCTGAATTTTGTTCGTTTGAGCAATTTGGAAAAAAATGAAATCCGAAATGTGATCATAACGATTCTAAAGAGCAAAAAAATGTAAATCACTCCAGAGTGAGAATTTACTCTATCCGCGTATTGAACAATACCCTGTCTGCTTCTCGGTGTTACAGTATTAACCTGGACACTGAGATCTGGAGAATTTTCTAGTTGCTTCACCAGTCTATTAATATAACAGTATGTCTCTCGTTGGAAAATCGTGCGCCAATAATTTGAAACTAAATTAAAAAGAATAATAATAATTATAATTATAATTATAATTATATTATAATAATAATAATAATTATCCTTCCCAAAAAACGTAATGACAAAATACTAGTACAATAATAAAAACAAAATTAACAAACATTTATCTAGATTTGTTTTCTAATTCGTGGTTTTCGAAAAATATTAATTTTAAAGCGTTTTCTTAATTTTGAAATTTAGTTTTTGTTTGATCGATTATTTAAATATGAAACAATGTTAGCGTCCCCTTAAATCACATGTTAAGATTATGTACGGAGTGATGCCTTTGTAATGGGATGGTATATACGTGGTGTTTTTTCGTGAACAAATAACAACTTTGTTACTTTTGAATTGTTAATCTTGCATAAAAACTGAGGTTTGCAGGTCTAAATGCATCTATCGATTTCTCAAACTAAAAGCCTTGCTTATATATTTGGGGTTACTATTTACTGTCGATAACTCTTATAAGTCCTATAAATCTTATTTCTGGTAGTTAATTAATTTGTTTAATTTCAAAAAAATGAAAATATATTCTGTTCAAATTTTTTTTGCAAAATATCTCATTTTTACATTATTTTAATTTATATTTTTTTGTAACTGTTTTAAATAATAAAATGTTTTGTATACAATTAATATTTTATCCATTTTTTAGTCCTTTTTTCGAAACCATAACAATAAAAAATTGTCAAGTTAGGTGGGTAGGTTTTTCTTTTTTACTTTTTTCGTTGTCGTGGCATTCTTATAAAGGGAAACAATGGGAAACTGTTTTATTGCCAAAAAAATTGGCTTTGGCGACGAAAATTGCCTTTTAACGACTTTGATCACTTGGTTTTGGTTTATTTTTAAACGATTAATGCAGACCACTAAGGTCAATGCTCTCCTGCAAGCAAATCAACCCCAAAAATATGTAAGAAACACAGATTATTTTGATATAAAATATATCTAGAAAGTTCCAAAGAATTCGAAAATGCCTTAATATGCAGGGTCTTCTATGGAAAATAAAGTTAATTGTCCACTAAAATACAAGTGTACATATTTTAAAGTATCAGAATTGAAAAAACTCTTGCCCTACGTTTTTTTGGTGTTCTTTACAGATTCTGAAATAAGGTGTCATCCCACAACACCCGTGCCACGCTGGAGTATGAAAAAAGCCAGCCAGCCGTACGAAGTGTGAGACTAATCTTTTCGAATTTTTCGAACCGTAAAAATCAAACAGAGAGACTAATTTTTTAGCTATTGAATACGGCGCTTATTAAAATCATTTAAACAGGAAAATGATTTAATTCGATAATTTTTTTACTGTAGGCCACCACGCGAACGTAGATGGAATAGCAGTGACAATCTGCCCGAATTGAAGCACGAAGAATTAAAACCAAAAACTCTTCCGTTTTCATAATGTACACTTGAGCGTGTGTTTAAGTCACGCTTCAGGTAAGTTTGAAATTTGAATCCCAAATGCGGGTGAGTTCGATACAAAGCGGAAACAAGATTAACAGCCACGCGAAAGAGACATGATAATAAATTGAGAGAAACAAAAGCTCGCGTTTCAAGGGATTATTCACATGTCGCTCGTGTCAAAGTTTCACTTAACTACTTCTTTATTATGCCTACCTACAGCAGTGAAAACGATCTAAACTAGAAAGGCCATAGATAGAAAAGTGAGACAAATGTTACAATAGAAAAATATAGTTTATTTCTTAAAAGAGACAAATTTGAAATCTTCTTTTCACTGCGACGCAAAGGATCCATTGTGACGCTCTCCATAGCAATAGAACTTTATCTCCATTCGTCTCTCTAATTAGACTCGACAGCTCTTAGATATTTTGTAGATATACCATTATTCTTACGGTCTTCCTCATTTAGCTTAGCAGGTCTGCTTGTAATTTAAATTCCGACCATTTTTTGATTACTGATTTTGAATGGGTTTAGTCACCCCCACTCCCACCCTTAATAGCGTCACTTTATTATGACGTTTAATGCCTGGTATCCAAAATTAACTTGAATGTTATTTTGCTGGATTGCATAGCTTTTATTGCCGCTTTGCTATCGGTGTATTAGGTGCCGTCTATCAAACATACCCAAAAACATGAAAACTCTCTTTTGCCGCAAATGCAAAACAAGAAATTATCACTTTAAAAAGTCTTTACTTATTAACACTAATATGAAATTATTAGTTGGGTATTCTACATACACAACGA